GCCTCAGTACGAGAATAGATCAGAATATCGTCAATGAAGACCACCACAAATTGATCCAAATATGGTCGGAACACCCGATTCATCAAATCCATAAAAGCTGCAGGAGCGTTCGTCAAACCAAAGGCATCACTAAAAATTCATAATGACCATATCTAGTGCGAATGGCCGTTTTTGCAACATCAGATCCTTTAACTTTCAATTGATAATACCCCGAACGAAGATCAATCTTAGAGAATACAGTAGCTCCTCGCAATTGATCAAATAAGTCATCAATCCTTGGTAATGGGTATTATTCTTACCGTCATCTGTTCAATTTCGATAGTCAATACATAATCTTAGCGACCCATCCTTCTTTTTCACGAATAGAACTGGAGCTCCCCATGGTGAAGTACTATGTCGGATAAATCCTCGATCGAATATTCTTGCAATTGGACTTTCAACTCCTTAAGTTCCTTTGGAGCCATACGATAAGGTGCCATAGACATAGGTGAAGATCCGGATAAGTCTCAATCTCGAACTCTACCTCTCTATCAGGAGGTAACCCAGGCAACTCCTCAGGAAAAACATCAGGAAACTCGCTAACTGTACGAATCTCCTCGATCGTGGACAATGCACCTTTGGTGTTCAAAATACAAGCAATGAAGGTCTCATATCCCTTCCGGATCATATGATCAATTTCCATCGCTGAAACTATATTGGAGAGATAACCACGCGTTCACCAATTAACACAACAGTCCGACATCTGAAGTCTTCAGAGTAGCCCGCTTGTATTCGCAATCCAGCTTTACCTTGTGTTTATTCAACCAATCCATTCCAAGAATTAGATCGAACTCCCCTAAAGGAAGTTCCATAAGATCACGAGAAAATTTCTCCCTGAACCTCGAGAGGACAACGCCGAAATACTTTATTCACTAATACCTTGTCTACTGGACTTGTAACTGTAATAGTATTTTCAGTGTTCTCGATCGGAATCTGAAGGTTTCGAGATACTGAGCTCGATACATAGGAGTGAGTGGAGCCATTGTCCAATAATGCAAAGTATGGGGTAGAATAAATAGTAAATGTACCTGCAAAACCTCAGGCTCATCTCTGTCATACGTCTAGTTGCATAACTAAAGTTGGCTGTCTAGCCTCAGAAGCTGTTGGCCCTCTATTTTGCTGAGGTCGGGCTTCTGTCTGTCCTGGACGCTGATCCTCGAGTCTTTCCTTGACTACGATCTCTAATTGGGGTCTGTACTGTAGTCTGCGAACGCACAGGAGTTTGGGTAGTGGTCTGCTCAAACGAAATTAATTGAGGACAATCCCTCGATAATGACCACTAGATCCACACTGATAGCAAAGACCCATCTTCTTACGACACTCTCCTGAGTGCTGTTTACCACAATACTCACAAAAGGGGCCCATTATAATACGACGAGGAACCGCCTCGACGACAGCTAAAGGTGAGGATGCTGCAGGCCTGAAACGTGTATTGTTTCTCTGAGGGGCTGAAGTCGAGTCCTCTTCCGGACTGTGCTGATGACTCCATCGGGCCTGAAAATTTCTTAGATCGATCTTGATCAACACGCTCTCTACCAGAAGCTAAAACCTCCACCTCTTCCGCATCTTTGGCTCTGCCCACCAGCACATCAATATCTCATCTGATGGGTTACACTTGCCTACGCAGCTCGTATCTGAGTCCAAGGGCAAATTTACGACATCGATCTCTCTCCGTAGGTACCATACTGAATCCATACTTCAGCAACTTCAGGAACTCGATCTCATATTCAGAAACAGTCATGTCTCCCTGAACCAGGTCTTGAAACTGTTGTCGTCTCTGAGCTAAGTAGCGCTCTCCAGAAAACGGCTCCGAAAGCGATCCTTAAAGAAATTCCAGGTCAACGATCGGTAGGAACACTACTGGTCACTGACTCCCACCAAGTGTAGGCATTGCATCTAACATCGCCACAGCACCCTGATATCTCTTAGTGAGTCCAAACCCAACTGATCCATGCGTCTCTCTGTATCCTGGAGCCAATCCTCAGCTTCAGTAGGAGCTCCACCTATCTGTCCCCCAAAAGTTCTAACTCATTGGCCAATCAAAGTCTGCGAAATAGGAACCTCAGATACAACACCAGTAGCTCTGACTGCTCCCTGTATTAACTGCAGAAATTGTCTACCAAAATTCTCATCCAAAGCAACTCTGGTAGACTCTGACTCAATATCGGTCGCTCCTATTATCAGTGTAGTCATGCCAATACCAGCGGCAGGAGGCAGATCCGTTGGGGTCGTAGGAGCATGATCACCTATCGGAGGTGGGGGATCTACCCGTATCTCATCGATCGGATCTGCGAATCTAGCCACTCAACCTCGTCCACGGCTAGTTCGACGACTACGTCTAGCATCATTTTGATGGATCTCAAGTTTACTACAGAAGATAAAACTTAGGGTTAGATAAGCACTTTGAGCTCAAACATAGTTAAAATCTTAATAACTTGTGACATGGCCTTAGTAACTCGTTTGTAAAATATTTCAAACCGTATTTTCAATGTGGACTCATACACAGTCCGAGGGTTAAAAACCAAAAGCTCTGATACAAATAAATGTAACCCCCTAGACCCGGCCTATGCGTTTTGACTAAGTCTAGTGGATCACATTATGATTATTAAAGACATTTTTCGCAACCGTTATTCCATCAATATAAAATCACATTATAAATAACATGAAATTATAAACAATTATACTATCAAAATCCAACTCGTAAATATAGTACCAATAAATAATAATTTAATTTAAAACATGTCTTCAAATTCAAAATCACAATAAACGAGCAGTATTAGCAAAAGTTATCATATAAAATCCGATATTTTAAAATAAGGTCATGTCACCAAAATAAAGTCAACTTGCCAGATAAAAACATTATAATCTGATTTACTTCAAGAGATATGTTGATCCTCCAAGTGCTCGAACCAAGGTATCTAACCAACAGTATCTGAAAGGGGGGAAAACATTTTCAAAAGGTGAGCTAGGCTCAGTGTCCCAACATTTCCATAAAATCACAATAGGTACAAATCATAGTCCAGTAATCTCACAAATTCGTAAAAGAGTTTAACTTTTTGAAAATCATAGTTTAAACCCTTTTCTGGTACACCATCAGTAGTTCCCAAAATTATTTTCCATATAGCTTACTTATGCACATAGCAAAAAGAAAGCTGACTTAAGGATAGGCTCTGAAGCTTGTATCCTTAAGCCCAAGTCAATAAGTCCATATAGCTTACCCTAAGCACACAGCAAAGGAAAGCCGACCTAATGAAACATCTTGGGGCCCTCAAGAGTCACATTAGGCCCAGTTAGCTTGATCAGAGTTATTCAATCGTAATTCAATTCCAAATTCAATTGCACCGTGACATAAATTCCATAAATCCAAAACATGGTAATCTATATACCATTTCAAAACAAAAATAGATAGCAGCCATATTCCATAAATGTCACATTAAATTGGTGCATCAATAAAACAATAACCAATGAATCGGTGTACCACATATTAAAACCAATAAAACAGTTCAGTAATAAGTAGGGAACACACCTCGACAATAGATTCAAATAACAAATCTACTGATTGCTGGTTTCACCACGCTTTGCTACAGTTTTCGAACGGGTGAATACTGGCACACGTGGTTTAACTGATCTAGAAGAGCTGGGTCGAGCTGTCGAATGATCCGAGAGTCTCTTGTACCTTCAAACAATAATATTTATCAGTCTCAAATCCTATTTAATTGTTCAAAGCTAAAACTTCTCAGTATATACGCATTTTTCGGGTTTGACTATCAATTTGAGGTATTTCGAGTCTGAATTTGGCCAAACGGATGCGGAATCGGAATCAGGGCGTCGAAAAACATAAGTATGACTGTTCGAAAATTCAAATTCTTGGTCAAAGTCAAAGTCAACACTTTGACCGTAGATTTGGAGACCTTCGGATTCGAATTTGACAAAAACGGACCACGGAAACGGATTCGGCACGTCGAAAAGTCAACGGTCAACGGTCAACGATCAACGGTCGGGTCGGGTCAGACCGGTTGAAACCGGTTTCCAGTAGCCACTCGCCCTGCGGCGGCGCGTGTGGCGCGTGAGACGTCCTCCGGGGCCCTAAAAATCCCGAAAAAATTTCTAAAAATTATTTTGAGCGATTTCGAGATACTTACAACGATCGGTTCAAATTTTTGAACGGCGGAGAGCTCGATTTCAAATCGGCCGAATCTTTGACTGCACCACCTCTTCACGCGCCGCCGTCTACGGCGGACAAGGTTAACACCGGTGAACTCGGAACGTCACAAGGAACACGATGGTGCGGGAGGTGTCGTAAACGGAGCAACGATCAGCGGTGAATTTAAGATTTCCTCGGCGATAGAGCTAACAAAACCGTCGCTACTTTGACTGGAAATTCCCGACGTTTGGCCGCGTTTCGCTTCAATTAATTTGAAGGGTTTGTTCCTCGCTCGATGATGAACACAACGGTGGTTTCAAAACAACGATCGGAATTCGGACGTCGTTTGGATCGGACTTAAAAGTGGAGGTGTGAGAGGAAGAAAATTGAAGAAATAGCATTTGTGATTTCTGATTGTAAATCAGAAATCACGCTTAAATCATCAAGCCTACCGACAGTTTTAGGGGAAATTCAGGGCTTGGTCCCTGAATTTCCTTTACTTCAAACATGGCATACAAGTTTCCATAAATTTTAATTTAGTCACTTAATTTCACCCATTTTCACAATTTACCTCCAATTTCAATTACTATTATTTTGTAAATATTCGGGTTGTTACACCATGGCTGAATTTGGGTTTGGTTTGGCTTCAATGTGTTACTCTAAGCTTCTTATTATCTGTTTGGTGATATTTCTTGTCTGGGAATATTTGCTTGCTTGATTTACCGGTATCTGTTGTCAGTTTTAAACAAGGTTCGATTTTCTTTTAACATTTTTTTACTTGATCAGATTGTGATTATCGGATTCTTACTACTTTCAGGGTCTGGATACGATGAATCCAATATTAATCATAGATGAAAAAGTGAAGCTGGTGAGTTGTTAACTTGCAAAATCTTGCCATGTTATTTAGACTCAAGGTCAATGTCGGATTTGGATGCGTGTCTGACATGAATATACCAAATTTTCTAGTTTTTTTAATATATATTTGGAGGATTGTGCCTTCATACCGATGTCCGAACATGTTACATATACATTAACAAAAATGGAAAGTCCTAGTAACATAAAATCTAGTATTTACCTTGAGAAAGGTTCCATGTTATTTTGAAATAATTGGTAAATATCATCTATAGACATCTTCCATATCAGTGTCATTCAAGTTTGGATAGCTGGATGCATATTTGTATCCAGCATTCATGTCCAAGTCCGGATAACAGAGAACTTTAATTGGGAAGCTGTAGTTGATGATTGGTCTAAACTATTACTTTTATTTTTGACATTTTATTTTATTTTATTGTTAGTTAACCCTGTTTTCAAAATCATGAAATTTTTTCCAATTTACAGATTGGAGAATATGAAGAAACAATTGGGACTTGCTTCGTCTTCTCCGAGGATGGTGAGTAACATTTCCTGTTATACTTACTCTGAGTTTCTCAACTTTCTCCTATTCTCTCTTAATTATCTTCTTATCTCAAGCATAGGAGAATTGCATATTGACTCGAAAATCCATGCGTTCTTGCCGTGTTTTTTTTTCCTTTTTTGTGTCAATAATTCATGTTATATGGATTTTGACATGTTTGTGTATACATATAATGTTTGTATGGTTTAGAAAATATGAAGAGTCTGAAACATAGTTCATTACTCCGACCTCTATTGCTTCGACTCTTCATTGTTCTTGAAGAACCAATGTCCGGCCCATCAAGGACCTAGGCATAGGAATATGATTCCCCAAGGACCTTTAAAATACATGGAAAAACTTAGAAAATCGAACATGAGTTCGAGTAAAATAAGCTAGGATTTCATTTTTTTTTCTTGAAGTATACATGTTTGATATCTATGTTCGATGCATATCCCGATGAGTATGGGGATATGATCTTTCAAGGACCTTTCAAATACATGAAGAATAAAAAGTAAGCATATCTATGTCCACCACTGGAACCCATGTTTAACATAGGCTGCCCCTTTGGTTTATATTATGTTTCTCAAGCATTTTACTCTGAATGAACTAAGAATTGGGTGTGATATTATTTGCAGAAGCTTCACCTGTAGTGTATGAAGAGACGGGTCCATCAGAGGCAAATCTCTTCTCAGGAAAATGTATAATAGATCCGAATCAAGCTCCGAGAAAGCAAGTAAAACCGGTTGCTCGACTTCACAAGATTCTTAAGTTCAGTTTGTTACACGACGAGGACGTTCAAGTTGAAACGAATTCCCCGAAATAGTAGCGAACTCGAATTTTGTAGTTACCTGTCAGTGTTCATACTTGAAAGTAATTTAGTGTAATTTAAGCCTAGTTTTGCTCTGTATTTCTCATGCTCCATTGTTATTATTGATAGGAATAAATGAGTTACGATCGTTATAGGCGGTTCACCTTTTCTAGTTTGGACGAAGAACCTTAATAAGTGGTCAGGCGGCCGTTTTCTGTATTAAAGTCCCCTATCTCCGTAAGGAGGTAGAAGAGAAGTGAGTGAAGAATGGGGTTTGAGAACATTCTCTTATTTTAATCGAGAGGTTTTATAGTAACCTTTAGTGTCGATGTCAGACGTAACGTCATAATGACTATTTTTAGGCTGACATGATCGATTGATTTTGATAGATCACATGAGATATGTTGGAGGTCCATGTTAAAGGGTCAATTGCGGAGGTGTTCTATGGACGTCTTGATGTACATAGATGGATACAACAATTATTATCCAGTATATGATTGCTTTGCTAGGCACAACAATAACTCAAGAAGCTATTCGAATCAAGTAGAGTAAGGGATCTTTGCTTACAATTACTGCAACGTAATTAACTAATTATAATATTAATTTTTAGGGTAAATTTACAAATTTCATCGCTGAACTTTTTCTCTCTCCTATTTAACTCATTGAATTTTAAAAGTTTTTCAATTTTATCGTTGAACTTAATATATTGGGTTTTGTGGGTCACTGAACTTTACTCTCTCCTATTTTGGTCACTCTGTCGTTAAATAGTTAATGACATAAAAAACAAAATTTTCACCAAAATGACGTTTTAAATATATATAATAGTTCATTTTAACGCCATTAACTATTTAATGACCGAATGATAAAAAAAAAACTCAATGTATTAAGATCAGTGAGAAAATTAAAAAGATTTAAAGTATAATAAGTGAAATAGGAGAGAGAATAAAGTTCAGTTACCAAATTTGTAATTTATCCTAACTTTTTTAAAGATCCATGAAAATATTATGCGAATAAATTTATGTTTAAATCGAACAGTTGTAGGATTGTATTAAACTATTTCGACTTGGACATGGTAGATGACAAGACAGGAACGAAAATAGTTGACGTTTGACTCTGCAAGTGCTCAAAGGTTGTACAAACATGAAAAAAAATCAACACCCACACTTTGTTTAATCTTGTTTCTGGCCATGGATGCTCCCATGAAGTTGACTCATAAAAGTAAAGATGGTTCCTTTCATTTCTGAATCTTCCATGGCACCTTCCTTCCTTCTACCTGGCTTTTCCTCCAGCTTTCCCTTCTCAGAAAATCTTTTATCCCTTTTTTCTTCACAACCAAACAGAGTTATCAGGTAACTTCAATTCCCAATTCTCTGTTCTTTTTTTTTATATTCCATATAATTATTCACGCCTGCTATGGCCGTAATGACGGTAAACACGAAATGATCAAAAATACGATCGCGATCGCGATTTAAAACCTTGATTGTACGCTGATATATCAACCAAATTTATATTATGAAATCAGTACTTGTAAAATACAATAACAAAAATTCAGTACTGATTCTTTTAGCATTTACATTTTCAGTATATAAAACATCTTAATTTCTAACGTATTGCATTTTATGCAATCTTTACTTACAACCATAGAATTTGTTAATTATTTTCCAAAAATAATTTTTTACAATAATTTTATGCAATCTTCGCTTAAATTTCATTTTCTTTTTAATTGTCTGCAGATATCCAAATATCATCGCAAAAACAAGATTAAAATGACTACAGCAATAAAAAAAAATATCGGGTACGTAAAAGTTTAGGTTTTGGATTTATGAGTTCGGTCTTGTGTACCTCTAGGGCGAGATGAACAATAATCTACCATAGATGTAGAGAACACGAAGAGTTCAAATACATGATATCACATGTATCCCAAAACCTTATATAAATACCAAAATCTGGTGTATCCCAAAAACTCTCTCAATCCCTACAAAACTATCTCTGTAACGTAAATCCCGAAAGTTACAGAGATCCCAAAAAGATTATATCTCTCCAAAATAATTATATCTCACTAATTAGGTCATGACATTATCTCTATTTATAAAGCTAAATATTTGATCACCAAAAGTTCTTAATCCACAAGAATTCTAACCTAAAACAATTACAATAAAATCAAACTTAATTACCAATTATAATTTAGGTCAAAATATAATACTTGGAGTCCTTCTCGACGTTCGGTAGGATCAAACTTTGACGAATGGAAGATGTATTGTTTATATTTTATTTTAATCAAATCTCATTTTCTTTATTTGTAGGATGAGTGTATTGTAATAAATTTTGATACCGTTTAAGTATGTTTCGAGTTCGAGTCTTTGTGTATATAGAAAATCACTGTTGAAAAAATCACTCATCAAAATCAAATGTGTGATATGAATCGATTCAAATTAATAAGGGTTAAGCCTTGAAAACCGAAAAAACAGCTAATATATATAATTTTATACTTCTTAAAATTTTAATATTATTTCTAGAAATTTATACATCTACCCTAATATGTAACATCAATGTACTCATAATGTCTTTTTTGCCACTAAAGCAATCAGAACACTTCGTTGGGGCTAATTCTATTATGTGACGATTTAATCTAAGGCTAATTTACTGCGGAATTTAATTTAAATTGTTATTACTTTAACTTTAAAAATCATATAATTAATAATAATTTTAATTATAATCGTGAATGTTACATTACGGCGGGTTTAAAACTAAGTTGTTACATGTCTATTCTAAAATATATATATAATTGATAATAATTTTGGTTATAACCGAGAATGTCTTGATGACAACTATTAAGATTACAATTGAAATAATTATGCAATTTACATTATTTATTATAAAGAACGTAATATTTTCAGTTTCAATCTAAAATGTTATATAAATTACTCAAAAAATCACGTTCTTGATAAAATTTTATTGTTTTTTTAATTTTATATTAATGGATTATATTTTATACTTATTTCCCTTTATCAAAACTAATTCTATTGCACCTAACATTCTTGACTAAATCAATAAGAAGAAAAATAATGTGAAAACACTGAATTCATACAAACTAGAATCAACATTCCCTTTGTGTTGCAGGTGACACATTTGTTTAAGTTTAGGTGGGGTGAAGTTAAAATTATTTTTTTAACCAACTTAAATTATTATTTTTATGAGATTTAAAAAATATAATTTTATCATTATATTGGGCTTCCTCGTCCATGTAGGGCGTTGGAAAAAATTTCTCCATACAGGGTTCAAACCAAATTATTTCTTGAACTAAGGTGTTTGCTACAGTGATCTCATTGATCGCTAAGTGCTCCATAAGTCCCCAAGTGCTCCTTGCGACAAAACCTCCTCTGTTGCAGCAACTCTTCTCTCTTCCCTCTCTGTTGCAGCAACTCTTCTCTCTTCCCTCGCTGTTGCAGCTCCATAGGTCGCCAAGTACTCCATAGGTCGCCTTGTGCTCCAGGACCTATGGAGGTCGCCGTGTGCTAATGGAGATATATGGTGGTCACTGTAGCAATCATCTTACTTAAGCAAATAATTGTTCGACTGCACTATGTGAAGAATTTTTTTTCCATTGTATTATTCAACCACTTTTGCCCATTATATTGGCTTTTAATTTTATAAATTTTGAAAGGGTTTTGCTTTAGAGAATTAATTAATTTAAAAATGAAGAAATCAATCATTATTACGATTGTCGGTGTTCGAATCCGTAATTAGAAGTTACTAATTTAAAAAGGTTAAAAATAAATTATAATATATCAGCCTCCATAATAGACCTATTAATGAGGAAAAATATATTGGATAAATCGTCAATAAAAATTAATTAATTGGTTTCAACATAATCTGTTTTTTAAGCAGTTTGATCACAACACCTTACCTAACCAAAATAAAATTTAATTTAATATTATTATTAAAAGCCAACCATTTTAATCCATTCAATTCATTTTTTTTTTGTAAATTACACTCATGACCGGGTCAATTTTTTTTCAAAATTTTATCAATCAAATTAATTAATTATTTGAATATTATCAATTTAATTATATGTCACACATTTAAAACAATGAAGTGACGTATATCACATGTACATAAATAATGATATAGCACTTGTCACAATGTTTTTTGAAAATATAAAATTTTTCACGTCGATGATAAACGCTAACTATAGTTAATTTGTGGTTTTCATCCATCTAGTAGGTATTTTGCTTATAAAAGAAACGTTAGAGAGTTAAAGTACTTCGAAAAATATAATTAATCCAAAATTTTTGCATAAAAGAAAGTTGTTGCAGAGATGTAATTATTTTGTAATCTTGTAATTATTTGAATATAGAGCGAATTTTGTAGAGAGGTTGTAATAATATTTTTAGAATACAATTAACTTTTGGGTAAAATACATAAATAGTCCCGAAATTTTAGCATGAATTCAATTGCTAGCAAGCAAGTTTATTACTTCATTGTTCTTATACAGTCAAAGCCAAATCATTTCTAGCTCCCCCAACACGGGTATTTTCACTTCAGTTTTTTTCCAACATCTGATTTCAGCTTTCAGTTATGGGGATTACTGTTCTTTGCAATTAGTGCCGATTTTTAACCCTCGTTTTGGATCAAACTTACTAAAGGAAAAACAAAGCTTTTCATATGAAAATTGGAAATGGTTTCAATTTTTTGGATTGTAAAGTTAAAGTGAAGGAAATGAGAACTAGATCCTAACAATCTCGCCTTTGGATCTGTCTGTCTGGTTTGGTGTTTTGTTAAATGGAATTCAGTGGTTTCAATTTTTTGGATTGTAAAGTTAAAGTGAAGGAAATGAGAACTAGATCCTAACAATCTCGCCTTTGGATCTGTCTGTCTGGTTTGGTGTTTTGTTAAATGGAATTCAGTTAATGGTTGGATTCATCTTTGTTAAATGCATTCTTAGTTTCTAATATATTGCATGTTATCCAGAATTCGGGACTAATAGCTATGGATTATGTTCTGAATAAGATTGATAAACACTTGGAAAATCATAGAAGCCTTGATCAGCATTTGAATGACCTTAAGAGAAAACTAAAGGATCTGGATAGTCTGAAGGAGGATGCAGAATCTAGAATGAGCACTGAGCTGCGGCCGACCAAGAAGCTCAAGACAGAAGTCCAGATGTGGTTGGAAAACGTGGAGAGAATCGACGGCGAAGCACGAAAACTTGATGGGAGAATCGGCGAGAG